ATTTTCGAACGCACGTTGGGAGCGTTTGAAAATGGCGCGCTTTCTATCGACAATAACTTCACTCGACTGCGCGACCAATCAGAACCGAGGATTGGTAATTGTGAGGTATCGATATATTTCGATTCGAGATAACTTTAAAGCGACTTTTTGGGACTCTACTGTCTGAGGTAGGTAAACGATAATTACGTGGATGATTCGGTATTGTCCGGTCGATGGTTATTATCTGTGTATCCCTGGAATGGTTGCCAGCGTTGCTTATATGCCGAGAATTTGGAGGGGTTTTCCTCCCTCTCTCGATAATTCCACCTCCAGTCTGGAATACAAGGGCCACTTGCTGAAACTGGGTCGCAACAGATCCTCGTGGATTTTTTGGGTGTTGATCTCCAGTTGTGCCCACCGGTTCGATACCGATGATAAATACACCGCTCTCTTTCAAGTTGCTCTTTCGAAATCACTTTTTTCTCCACAGGGAGACATTTGTGTCGTTAAAATCCCGAGCATTGACGAATCCCAAGAACTATCACCAATTCCTTATTTGCTCTACCCTGAAATTATTTGGTGATTGACATTTTTGGTTGAGGCTAATCTAGGAACTGGCTATTATTCCCGATAAATGGTTGCTTTGCACAATTCTCGTATCATTTACCGTACATCATTGTTTGATTCCTCATGATTTATGCTCGAGTACTAATGGCTCATTACGCTCCAGTTATCGATTGCGTTAATGAAAATTCATGACGAAACTCGGTTGGGGATTTATCGTATCGTCGAGGACACATTTTGGGCGTACACCTCCAGGTATCGGGAATTAATCGCTCGGGTCAGGGTTTTCATGCCTGAGCACGTAAAAAATATTACACGATTCTAATAAATCTTCTTTTATTATGCCGGTGCATAAACAAATTTCATTGTACCCAAAGGATAAAGTGATAAAGTCAAAAATATGTCCTGTCAGGAGGAAAAATTTACTGAAATGAATAAAAACTCTGGGTGACAACTTAATAGCAAAGACAACAATTAAAAAACGACGAAATCGGCGAACGGTTGAGGCCAGTGGTCTCACTGCAAAATGTTGTAAGAATATTTAAAAATAAATTGTAAATAATTATTGTAAAAGACTCCATTAAGAAATTCAGAAATTGATGGGAGAAATTTAAAAGGAAATGTTGCTAACGCAAAAAATGAGAAATTAATAAAATTGATTGGGCAAAAAATTTTTATTAATCTTTAAAGATATATTGCAAGTGGAAATGGATTTTGGAAACCTGGCGACCTTGCATTGGACCAGAAATATTGATGATCGATTCGACAAACGATAATAAATTTCTTCGAGGATATTTCTGAGGTATAATTATTTTTTCGTGGGGACGATCTTTATTATTTCAAGAAAAGTTATGTAAGTACATATTCATGTCTCGAATCGGTTTGAATGTTATGAGAAAGCGGATTGGGAAAGGGTGTGGACAATGGATTTTGGGGATTCATGGATGTATTGGTATTCGGGTAATAGTATTCGATTATCGGACAAACATTGTTCAAGTGCTCGACTAGACTTGAATATTCGCGCCCCATCGGAATTTTCGATTAGCGAAAGTGTAAGGATCAATACGCCATTTTGATTGTTCAGGAGATACCCATAAACAAAATTGTAATCGGAATAATTTTTCTGAATTTTCAAAAAATTTCTGGAAAACTTTTCAGAAAATTTTTCTTTTCAATTTTCAATATTTTTAGAAAAAGTTTTGAAAAATTTTTCGAAAATTTGTTTCGGAAAATTTTTGCATCATTTGCTAGAAATTTTTGAGAATATCATTTTTTTTTAATAATCCTGTTGTTTCCCAACTTTTTTGATTTTTCAATATTCTCAAAAAAAAACGCCGTCTAAATTATAAAAAAAAATTTCCCATTCAAATTTTTGAAAAATATTTCAAAACCTTTCCAATAAATAAAATTGTTTTGTTTCCCAATTTTTTTTTGTTCCATAAAAAAAAAATCGGTAAAGTTTCTCAAAAATTTATTGAAAATTCGGAAAAAATATTCCGATTACAATTTTTTTTTACCCGGGTAGGGAATTGAATATAAATTTTTACTCCTGGATTATAAAATCCAATGACGACCGTTTGTTCATGTCGGAAATAAAAAAATTCGGCCGAGAGTTCATTCGCCTGGGATTTCGCAAAAATCCGAGAGTAATTGATACTGTAATTTAACAAATTCGAGATTAAATCGAATTTCAATCCTTCTAGGATGCTGACAATCGTTCCTGTGGCCCCCTTGACCTTGAGACATCAGTTATGCGAATCTGAGATCGAATCCTCAGATCTAACAAACTCACCACGCCTTCATTCCCACTGAATTTCGAGTGAAAGGAAAAGTTCCTCGTTGACTCGCGTGTTATTGAATTCGCTGAGGACGTGATTTGCATCTGAGACTTCTAAATTCGAGTGGTTTTTAAATCTGGGTTAAAGAAAGGACCCATAATACTCCCCGAGGAGTGTCTGACACGAGAAATAATCCGATTGAAACCGCCACACGTCAATTGCTCCAGGAGTTGCTCTGAGTCTCCAACATCTTCAAGAACTCGGATCGTCACATCCCGGAGATCGAAAATCAAACCCCAGTCGTCCACATAACCCAGGGGCCAACCCCCACGTCAAATTATTATTTTATTGTCAATACCGTATAAAAAATATAAATCCGAAGAAATTTACAATGAGAAAAAAAAATTCTAGATCACCCGAAATCGATTGCAATCCCGAAGAATTAATAACTTTATGTTTATGTAATATGTTTATAAAAATAGAATCAGAAACATTCGGAAGTGAATGATGGTGAGTCACATAATCAAAATATCATTGCAATGAAAGTGGAATTTGGAATTTAACGGTGGATTATTTTCTGTGTAGCTCGCACGAGTGCTTTGTACGCGAATTACGTGAGGAGAGTACTGAATCATGAATGAAGACAGAACACTCACGAGACTCCTCAGGATATCCAAGTATCTTCACGACTCTTCGTCTTTACTGAAATATTTTTCGATATTCATTATAAAAATCACCCCTCCCAATTTTATGAGTACGCGCTAATTGCTAATTAATGACTTGCGGAAAAGTTTTTTTGACTCATTCTCAGTAATTTTTTTTTCCCATCTCCTATACAAATAAATTACTTGTAAACACTAGCAACTCATAGATTAAATAAATAATTCTAATAATTTCGATTGCGTTGATATGAATATTTTATTTTTCATAAATAAAAAAAGGGAACAATTAGAAATTGAAAATAAATAATGATGTCTTGAAATACTTGCGTAATTAGTACATCTCTCTCTCTTCATAAATTACCGCTGATGAATTTTCATGCAAATCGACCCCCCAGTGTCCATAAATTAATTCCCTCACATCGATCAACTCCCGATTAATTCCCGTGATGTCTCAATGAATTCGCAAATCCCCGGGTACTGTTTGTTTATAAATCCATGGACCCTCAGTTCACTGGGGAAAGTTTGATGACCGTTGAAATTTACTTTCTACATCTCCAGTCAATTTAATGCTCACCACTGAGTTAAATCAATTGAATTTCGTATCGATAATTCGTCGTGCATCTCGTGATGTCTTTATCCATACATAAATATCGCCTCACTTTTCCCCGGTATTTAATTGCCAGGATTTTTTTATCGATACTGTTTGTTATTCTTCATGTCCTACATCCAATACGTCATGAATTTCATTCAGCACTCGTTTGTCAGTGAATAAATATTGTGATAAAATCATTGCTCGCGACTTTCATTTTTATACATCAATTCAAAAAAAAAATCTGTATTATCCCATTATTTATTAATAAACAATATTAATTAATAAAGAATACAAATATAGATAGGAAATTCCTGCATGTGCTGTGGAATTAATTGAATTTTTTTTTTAGGAATTATAATTATTATTAGTTAGAGGAATTATTTTTCAAGTCACGTAATGCAAGTGAATCGTAAATTCCTCATCACAGGCTGTAATTGTCTCTCATTCAGTGTCCTTGGATTTTTTTTATTTCTGGTGTTACACTTATTACTCTTCCACAACTGAGTGAGGACAGGATAGAGAAAAATAAAAAAATATTGGCGTTGGGGAAAAAGAGATCGTAAAACACTGGGTTATGACTTGGTGAGACAGCGAGAGTGTTCTGGGTGCATTCCGATGATAGTAGTGGCCTCATCAATCTTGTAATCAGGTACTTCAGAGGGACCACACGAAATTCGCATGCTGAACACGTTTCGCAACGCCTTTCCTCAAAATAAATATAAAAAAATAAAATGAGTGACAGGTGCCATTTTTTTTTGTATTAATTGATGAGATTCACCACCGGACAAACTTCATTTCCTGAAGATCTTTCGTGTCACCATAAAATCATTTCGACACTGCATTCAATTTTTCATTAATCTACAAATAATTGTAAATCATCGCAATGATTATTAAATTTTTCAAACAAATAATTTCACCGATAATTTTTTTTCTTGAAACCGGAGTTAAACGTTTGAAGAATGAATTCATTATAAAATATTTCTCGAGACGTTAATTATTATTTATGATTTTTATTATCATCTGTCGTTATTAATTTGATTGTTATTAGTTTGGAGATAAAAAAACTGGATTGACATCGAGGTAATAAATAAACAAATAAGCCCTAACGATAATCGATAAATCAATGTTATGGTTCAAATCGATTGTAATGTTCAGTTACAACATCGCCAGGTATTACTTATCATTACGATCATAATCACTAATGTGGCAATAGCTGGGAAGGCCGAATGGACGTGTGCCCATACAAATTTGCCGTCGTCCAGCCACTTGTTAGTCATAATTTTCTCAACGTTTTGCGCACATTACCAATTGCTCGAGCACGGACTGTCCCTTTGAAAAATCACCTGGAGTTGGTGGACCCTCAGCGATGTCGAAATTACAATTCATTCTCTGGCACTTCGACGAAACCGGATTTATCTCGCAAGGCCCCACCCCTCGAGACATCGAAAAAGGCAAACAACAATTGGAAATTAAATTAAATAAAATGTATCGGTTGTCAAAACGTCCCCTTCTCTCACTCCCAAGGTTATCGGGAATCGAGATAATATCCTTGAGCTTATAATTAAAATTGAAAGGAACTTCCCCATTGAAAAAAAATAATTATTGTTGTATGTCATTTGCTCGGACGGAATTATGATCTGGGGGTATTGGAAATTTTTGGGGGAATTCATTGACGCTAATAATATATGTTCCATCTGCTCCTGACATTTTCAACAGTTTTATTAGTTAAAACTCTAATATTTACAACACGTGTATAAATTAATTAAAAAAATGAATACACACCATCGAGCGGATGGCCATGTGGCCGGCACTTATGGCTTTCAATTTTTATAAATCATTAAAACTTTAAATTTTCTTCGTCTCGCTTGCACGATTAAAAGAACTAGAACAGAGTGCTCATATTAAAAAAAAAATGGAACAATAAACACCACTGACGATCACCAAAAATAATAATAAATCATGATTCAGGAATAAGTAAAAAAAATGGACAGAAACGAGAAATGCAAAATGAAAATAATATCCGGATAATCAAATTGGCATGTAACGAGTACAGGATAACGCAAAAAAATCAACTTGGAGCTAGGCATAAATAAAATTAAGATTGACATTAAACTCGAGTGGATGAAGTTGATTGGGTCACGAGAATGGCCTCATCGGATGAATCTATCGGAATCGTCCCCGAATTTTTCTATCTCCATCATCTCTCCCAGATATCTTCACCCGACAGAAGTGGTCTTGTGTCCGCAGGTTGTCATCCACGAGTGACCAAAATGATCAACCATGAGGAGCGATTGGAATTACTCTTCAGCAATGATGCGTCTCTGAGCTTGTGGTCTTCGGTCTCCATAAGTGGAATCAAGAGGAACAAGATAGGTGACCTTATCGCTGCCCTCACTCTCGGCCTCCTGTTTGAGAATTGGTCGTTGTCTCCTGACAGGTCGTCGCTGGTGACGAGGAATATCATCGTAGTTGACATAAGCTTCGGGCCTGGCTGTCTGCTTCTTCACATAATATCCAGTGGTATTTTCGAGAGCGTAGCTAGGTTGGGTTGGTCTGGTGACTTCAGGAACAGGGGTAACAGTGTATCCAGCATGAATTAAAGCATCGAGATCGGCTTGAGTGAGAGGTTGAGCCTTAGCTGCAGGAATCCGGATGATCTGTGAGTTTCTCTCCTGATCCTGTTCAATGATCTCCTCAATAGTGAGAGACTTGACTGGTGCTTTCTTACGAAGACCCGATTGTGAGACGTAAATCTGTGAGTTGTTTGGGATTTTGTGCTTGTGTGCTTGACGGGGCTGGTTGACTTCATCTGGTTTGACAGCTGCACGAGGAACATAAGATGACCCTGACGCCTGATATTTGTTAACCTGATCGTTTGTGAGATAGCTGTTAGGAGGGAGAGGAGTGCTGTTGGGGGTTGGCAATAAATATTGAATAACTGGGGTATGTTCGGGATCCCGTTTGCGGGCTTCGTCCTGAGCACGAGCTGCCAATTGCGCTTCCTTCTGAGCTTTAGCACGAGCGGACTGATGAGCTTTCCAGAGAGCCAGGGCTTGGGCATTAGCGAGGGCCTGTGCCTGTGCCTGAGCTTTGGCCTGATTCTTTTCGAAATTCAAAGCGTAGATATGAGCGTCCTCCTGAGCCTTGAGATGAGCTGCTTGTTGTCTTTGAAGTGCGATAATGGCATCACCATGAGCTTTGTACTCGGCAGCTTCTTGAGCGCGTCTCGCTTCAGCCGCTTCGGCAGCGGCCTGCGCCTTCAAATTTGCACGGTAAGCAGCCTCAGGATCCTTTGGCCTCACTTGTTCCTCGATGTGCTCCCTACCTGCTTCACTCACGTGCCCCTGATTGATCTGCTCGAGAGCGCTCTGCTGTTTGAAGCGATCCTCGACGATGCGGATCTGCTCGAGCGCTGCTTGCTGGTGTCTCAGGTGAGATGCCTGGCTGACCTTCTGGTAGGCGAGTGCCTGGGCTTCAGCCTGCGCCTGTGCCTGAGCTTGAGCGACAGCTTCAGCTTGTGCATGAGCCTGCTGAACCGCTGGATCAACGTATTGGGGGGCGGGTCGGTAAGGCTTCCTTGGCTGGGCATATGATTGTTGTGCTTGCTGCTGATGTTGAACCTCCTCCAATGGCCGGTAAGCAACAGGCACGTGTTGAGGTGCTTGATACCTCGGCTGAGTGGTCTCGATGTGATATTGCTGATGATTCGGAGACTCTTGGATTGGCTCGGCGGTTGGTTTTACTCCATCATACTCACCAGGGTAAGCCAAAAGCTGTTGGGAATATTGATTGTAACCCTGAGGCTTGGGTAGTCGCTTCGGCTGCGTCTGCTGGAGCTTGAATTCCTGTGCCTGATTAGCCGAGACTAATTGGAGAAGCTCTTGCTCGAAGGTTCCGAGCTTTGGCCCACCGTATCCAGTTGGCACTTGGTATTCAGCATGAGATGTTCCACTTGCACGGAGGAGAGCATTAGCTTCAGCTCGATTATGGGCATCAAGCTGTGCCTGATACTCAGCGTGTGCATCAGCCTGAGCTTCCGCCTGAGGGTGAAGAGTCAATCGAGGACGTGGTGGTGCAACAGCTGGAACTCGCTGATTCTGATAAGCCTGCTGGAGATTCTGCTGCTGTCTAGCGTACGCTGGGAGCCGACGGGGTGGAGGTCCTGCTCTAGACTGCTGACTGTATGGCTGCGGTTGGGCTGATGTGTACTGCTCGACGAGGGAGAGGTACTCTGGAGACAGCTGAAAGCATCAAGGATACAATAGCATTTACACGATTCAGGTATCAATCGGGATTCCATGTACGTGTCATAATAAATGGAGAAAGTCACGTCTATACATCTGCAGGACACATTACTCATCATTGGAGATAAAAATAAATAGCGTCCACTAATTTTCCGGTTGATCGATTATACTAATTTGTGGGGGACACTCACGCTGTTTTGATTGGAATAGAGAATTATCTGCGCATATATTCTCGGATTTATTGCAATTAGAAATCAACTTTCTCTGGATTCTACTTTCTACCTTCATGAACTTGACTTTATGCAACCGTTCATCATCAAGTTATTGACTCTCAAGTGCACATCGTGGGAAATATCTGACGTTCGCATCATGAAATTATGAATGATGAGTTGGAGAAGGTGATGTTTTGTCTGTCTACATCCGTTCTCCAAGTACTTGTACCAGTGATATCAGTAGATCCAGTTCCCTAGGCTTTTTGATCCGCTCTAATGACTCAGTACCGCCTCCCCCCTCTCTCACCCAACGGTAACAGTAAATGCAAGGCCGCTAACGAAATTGAAAACTCCATTGCACTCACTTATAATCAACCGCCTCGAGGAAACACACACACGTAATTCTCTACTCATTCGTATTTCACGGGATTTTACACTGTTCTATGTTTAGCGCTGGGTGTGGTATTACCGGTTCGAGATTCGCGATTAGAAGGCGAGCAAAGTCGCCCCGCTGGCTAGATTTTAAAAAATGCACAATGATTGTGCAATAATCAGACGACTGCGTGGCATTAACACCGTCGAAGTTTAGACAACTCGATTGAGCACCAGAGATTTGTGAGAATTCGTTAACGACAATCGCTGCATTCCGCCTGTCATACCTCCACAGAATAAAAAAAAAATCATCTCGAGGGTTTTATCTGGTCGTTCCTTTGAACTCTCGATAGCTATCCGACGATGGATCAATTTTTCATACCTCATACACATCATTTCGCAAGTGGCTCTAATCAGGCGAGAGCATGTGCTCGTTGCACTATTGATTGCCATCACTTTTTTTTTCTCAACACGAAAAAAATTGTAAAAAAATAAATAAAAACGTTCAGCCTTGCCTGCCCACGGCATAATTAAAAATCATTGACATCCGTTGGAAGGCGGCGATTCACGGAAACCTCGAGTGAAATTTAAATACTGAAATCAGGCTGATGTCATTGCAACATTTGGCGACATGTTTGAAGGTGTATAGATCATATAGAATGGCCGGTGAAAGATCAACGATCGGGGCCAAATACCCCAGTTGTAGTTTTGCATGAAATTAAAACGAAACTGATAAAAAAAATGGTGAAAAAAAAATAAATAAAGAAGGAAAAAACATTCCTTCACGGTTGTCGAGTGGAGTTACGGCGGCGATAGGCGGCCAGTGGTCACGGTTGAGAGATGTAAGACCGTTAAAATTCGCATGCAAGCCTTTTATGTGAGTTGTGGCATTTACTCCATTTTCCTTTGTTCTAAGGTAGATTTCGAGTGGGACGTACCTCTTGAGCATCATCGCCGTGACGAATTATGAACTGGCTTGGGGATGAGGCACCATAGACACCAGTTGCTGACACTGGTGAACGTTTCGATGGATCTTTCACGTCGATTTCGAGGAGTACAACGTCATCGCTTGATGATTTCGAGGCTGAAGATACTTCCGTGTCTTTACAGACTGCTGTCGCCAAAAGACCTGCGAAAAATGGAGAATTAATTTTTTTAGTGGCTCAATTTTCATCAAGCAAAAACGAAAACGTAAGAGACCAAGATATTCAGTGATTCCAGGTGATTCCAATCACGTCGAAATCATTAATCTTAATTAAATGAACTCCACGGAGTCATTAAGTCATAAAACACTTATGTCATCGGTTGAAATCAAGCTGTAATTCCCGTTAATTTTCACTCGAAGTCTGTATCTCATCGATATCTCCACGGATTTTCATCCAGCAATCGAGATCATTTTAGAGGATTCCAGATAAAAAACATCATTACAATTTTGAGGTATCCTTTCGCCGTCCAGTCTTGAAAATTAATAATCAAAATGATGGAAAATTTGATCGTTAGGGCTGATGCAATTAGTTCAAACTATCCGCTAATTTTTTGATAATCAAACCTAGAGAAGGATAATTGCATTGAATTGGACATCGGGAATGTGCACACGCGGAAAATTCACCGAAGATAGACGCATATTATGTAGCCCTAGATGCCAACTTTTCCCACGAGATTTAGCATTGGTACACTAGTTATGCAGCTGAACATTTAGCTCTGATCGTCGGCGTTGATATTGTAGTAGTCTAACCGTATCATTAAACCCAATGTACGTAATTAATACTCTATTCCAGAGTAACTCCAGGTGGTGTGGCCCGATGGTTAAATTTTGAATGATTTTGCGCTGATCATAACTCATTCAAAAATGACTTGTGCATTTTTCATTATTTTATTCGTGGGGATAATTTACTGAGTTGATTTCAACAGCTGTTAATTATTTAAATGAGATATTGGGCAAGCCTGATGTGGTCTTGGAAGACAAGTTGCCATTTTCGCAATGACTTCCTAGTGTTTAATTAGAGTTGTATCTCAGATCTTCCCCGGAAGTGACGGAATGAGATTTAGCTCCCACGGTGACGCCTTCAAAACGGAAATTCGAGTGGTACTTTGGTGGATACCACCTGTTTGTCTT